GGTTATGATAATAAAAAAAGTCCTGAGCTAGATCAAGCTTTGATCTCTACAAACCAAACTATAACTTTAATGAAATGTTTTTTCCCCCACTAATAAAAAGATTTCATCATTAGCTAGCTCCACACTGGAGAGCTGCTTTATCACAAAAAATCAAGTTGTAATTCTAACTGAAAGCGACACTGACTCTAGTTTTTCATGTGTAATACTGTAAAGCTGCTTGATTTAAGGCTATCTATTGCATAAAGTACCGTATTGGAAAAACATCGTCTTATATTCGGGACAATACGGTACTATATAAATAAACGTGACGTGACTGGACTTTACTGTAGTACCGAACTGCAGAGCTCCTGCAAACTTCCACATCGCTGTTCTCAGATGCGTTTTAAACTGCTGCTTTCTCATCGCTGTCCGTTTCTGTTGTGTTTATTTCGTTATTGAGAGGAAAGCGCACAGTCTATATTTACATATTCATCCAAACGCTGCTCAGCAGCCTCAGGTTCGGCTGCGTTTGCTCTGAACTGAAGCGGTCTTCTTCTCTTGAATTGCATCAGGAGAGCTGAATTACAGTCTTGCGCTACAGCGCCACACTGGTCAAACCGCGTTATTGCAGGCTCTTACATTAGGCCATATGAGATCAAACGACTATTCGACAACAAAAATATTTGTCGACAATTTTTTATTGTCAACGTTGTCGATAATGTCGACTAATCTTTTCAGCCCTAATCAGCATAGGCCTGGGCGATAAAACAGTATCGATATTTATCGACGGTACACCTTCTTTGATAACGATAGAAAAAATGTTCGATATAGCGCACTTTATAGGCACATGCTATGAGTGTGACGCACACACAAACACAAACACATGCTGAAATGAGTGCTGTGCCTGCCTGCGAAAGGCCCTAATAATTCAAGAAGTGTTAAAGATATCTTAATGTCATTTTAGATTCTTGTTCTTCTTATTTTTTTTTTCTTTTGGAGTCTTCATTTTTAAGGCCCTATATAGTTCAGTCTCAAAGATATCGGGATGTCAATGTGGTAACGTGTAGTTACAATACTCTGTATTTGAACTCTTGGTAGCTTCAGAAGCGGTTAAAATGAACAAAATCCCATCTTCCAAATATCCATAAAACTGATTCAAATATTGAGTCTTATAAATACACCTTTGAGAGTAGGTTAATGTGCCTCAACTTAACCATTTTCAGTAGATATTTGGTACGCAAAGAGTTGTATTATGCAATTATTTTGATAGAAGGAAACAAGATGCATTTCTAGTTTAAACATTATTCTTCAAACATTCCTCTTTCAAATGCAGTAAGTATCAGCTGTATGCAAAGTGAACCACATTTGGTTTTCAATCACTGAAAATGGGTCAAATTCAACCATTTAAACACCGGGCTGCTTTGAAATCTCCATATCTATGGGAATGAACTATATGGGGCCTTGAAAATTAAGATTTCAAAAGGAAAGTTTATTAAGAATGAGAATCTAGAAGGATATTAAAATATATTTTATACTTTTAGAGTCACGGGCATGCAAACTTAGGAAAAATAATATTTATGGTATTCAGACAGGCATGTTCAGAATTTTAAGACCTTCCACTTTTCTGCTTTAGTCACTAAAACATGTTTTGATGGCTCATAAAACGTAGCTGGCTTGTCCAGAAAATCAATCTGAACCGTTTTTTAAAGCAGTTCCGTGACAAATCTGTTTTAAATAAATACAACGTAGGTGGCAAGTTAAACATGGTGTGTCTACAGTATAAACTTACAGTTGACATCACATTCAACATTTAAACTTTTAAAACTATTTGGTAGTTTAAATCAAGAGTGCTCACATTTTTGGAGCTCAAACTTCATGTATATCTCAGTCCTGCTCCTGAGGACCTCAGCGCTGCACATGATGGACGACTAAACTTATCTTCTCAGACACACAGTTATTTCCCTAGAGAGCTCTCAAGGTCTGAACACTATACACACCTGTCCTAAATAAACTAACGTTACTGGAGACATGTTCAACTCACGTTAAGACTCACCTCAGAGAAGTTGACAGCTAGGGGAATAGTTCCAGCCACATAGCAGCCGACTAGCATAGCCAGAGACAGCAGACTGATGGAGCTGAAGTCATCCATTTCAGATCAAGATACACCGCTGTTTCAGTTCGAGGATCACTTTAGAGTTTAACAACAAATCCTGTAACGTTACAATCGGCCGATGTCTGGTGCCAGCAGACACTTCTTACTTGGATTGGTGTATTAGCCGGTTAGCTAGTCAGTTGTATGTATCTATCCTTACAAATCACACGATTAAACACGAACTGATCTGCTGCAGAGTCGGTTTGGAGTTCTTGGTACACTGACCTGGTCGATTATCTGAACGCTGTTGCTCAACTTTAATCACACAGGATCACGTCACGCTTAGCTAAAATCATAACAATCGGTCTGCGAGTAAACATATAACTCAACAGATTTGTGAATGTCTGTCATAGTCTACTTCTCTGATCTCAGGCTGCGATTAATGGCATTGTGATTCCTAAATAGGCGACATTGTTTTGTCGCGGTAAACCCATTTAGTTTGCCACCTATTCCGCAGTATCGACCGACACTGATAGCCATTAGCCAACTAGCAGAGTGTAATGTTGGCAATGTGAATAAAGCACTTCCGGGCCACATCGCCGTCAAAACAAAAGCCCCCACCCCCATAGACGTATCTTCTTCTTCGGTTTTATGGCGGGTAGCACCAATGTTAAGGTGCATTATCGCCACCTACTGTATTGGAGGGTGAACCAGCGTTTACACTTTCATAATGAGAGGACAAGAACAAAAAAAAAGAAAAGAAAAAAAAACACATTCTTTACCTCAATAAAAATGTTCCCTCTAAATTATCTTAATCAGCTCTGTTCTCTTAAGATACAAAAATAAACTCTCTAGTCCATAAGTAAATATATTTTTACGCTTTAGGTTATCCACTCCCATATTCTAAGTTCATTCTTCATTGTTGCTCGTTCATTAGTATACTTTTGACAAACACGTTAACATGTACATGTGTATAACAATAACATGTTCTACTGATTCCTCCATTCCACAGTGCTCACATAATCCTGTTGGATGTGTATTTATTATTTTTAAGGTTTTATTCAGCATAGTATGCCCAACCTTTAATCTTGTTAGAATATTTTCCTCTTTGGTGCTTCTTTTAGTTATTCTCACGACTCCTACTTCTCGCTGTATTTCATAAAGTTGACGTCCTGTATTTCCTGTATCCCATTTATGTTGCCACTCCAAATGCTTTAATTACTGCTTTTGCTTCATATTTACTAAGTGAGATATTCATGATATCCTCGTTTTCCAATGCCTGTTTTGCTAATCCATCAACCTTTTCATTACCCTTTATCCGCTATGAGCTGGTATCCATATATATATAGAGAGATATGTTTTTTCAAAGTTAAACTTGCATTCATTTTACATGACTTTCTAAACATGCGGCTCTTTTGTGCGAGACGCGAGTGCAACGCTGATAGATGTCCTTCTAGAAAATGCGCAAAATATGTGTTCTGTGTGAACGGCTTGGTTTCAGTTTTGACGTAAACAAGATCTTCTCCGCATTGATGTTCTCTTTTCCCACAATATTTGTAATTAACAACGCAGCAGCATCTGCATCTAGTGGCTTCAACTGGATAGGCTAACAAAAACATTATAATGCAATGACACATCGTCATTGCATCTCGTGTGCCAGCCTACTGTTGGATGGCGGTCTTCTGAATGACCTTGACGATTTACGCAGTAGTTCATCATTAACTGATTTCGTCTGATTTGTAACGGCATTTCACCCACTTCAACCTGAAGAGACTCGCTCCCCACTCTGTTCCTCCTTAGACATCTCATCACATTTAAAATCTTTTTTACATTTAGTGTCAATCTTTTGAATATGTTCGTTCTATGTTAATTTTGCATCAAACCACACACCCAGAAACTTAAAAGCTTTAACTTGTTCAATAGTTTGCCCATATTATCTGTGTGTCAATTCCTCTTTTCCTAGTGAACATAAATGTTTTTGTTTTATCTATACTGAAAACCTGAATCGCCATGCATATGACCGTTTTTCTACTACTTCAATTGCCTCTTGTATCTTTCCTATAATATGATTTATATTCCTTCCCCGTTTCCACAATCCCCCGTTATCAGCAAAAACTTGAGAAAATACATAATTTATCATAATTGAAAAGAGTATTGGACTTATGATGCTGCCCTGGGGGGTACCATTTTCGACCATATATCTTCCAGATAAGACTTTCCCAATTCTAACCTGAATAAATCTCTCAAACAAAAAATCTTTAATCCAATTATAACTTCTACCTGTTATTTCTGTCATTTCAAGTTTGATCATTAACCCCTCTTCATAGACGTATCTATGCCCCGCCCCCCTCTTTAAATCACGTCAATCAATGGGGAAGTTGTGGCCTAATGGTTAGAGAGTCGGACTCATAACCCAAAGGTTGTGGGTTCGAGTCTCGTACCGGCAGGGATTGTAGGTGGGGGGAGTGAATGTACAGCGTATTTTATTTTATTTTATTTTATTTTATTTTATTTTATTTTATTTTATTTTATTTTATTTTATTTTATATTTTATTTTATTTTATTTATTTATTTATTTATTTTTTCTTGTTTGGCGTTTTGTTTATCTGTTGTAGAATGAAATGAATAATAGGAATGTCTCAGTCTGTGTACTTATGTTAGCCTATATTGTTCTGTTAATGTTAAAATATAAAATAAAATAAAACAATCTTAAAAGTATATTTATATAAGAATATAGTAAACAAAACTACTTGCAGATGATATGCTAATTAGGCTACATAAAAGCACGAGTACACTTTCATGACTGTTTATAAAGAGAATTAGCCTAAGTGTACCATTGTTCAGTGAAGTATATTTTAAAAAAGTCCACTTTGTAGTCATGTGAAACTAAAAGCTTTACTTTAAAGAATATTTTAAATCGATATCTATATTAAAAGTCTTTTAAGTACACTTATTTTGATGTGTTGAGTATTATTCTAAAGCACATTTAAATTTCTTTATTATATTTTTAAGTGTTATTTGATATTACATTTAAAGTCAATATAGGCTATTTTAAATGTACTGTAAATGTAAATCGCAACTTTATCATTGCAAATGTGTAATTACAGATATATTTACATACATACATGTTTCAACAGAAGTGACATTAACTTACATTTAGTTTACCATAAATGCTTGTACAGTCAGCTGTATCCATTGACTATATGTAATTATGGAATTACACATAAAGGTGTAGCTATACTTGAGAGGGTCAAAAAAGCTAATTTAAATGTAAAGCACACAGCTCTATCTCTCATTTCAACCAGATGATCCAACGGTAGCTGCACGGATCTCAGGCTGCCTGGCGGACATCTCGGTATGGAGTACTTTCAGTCTAATTTTATGTACTTGTCAGACATGGGCTTTATGTACTTATCAGAAATATACTTAAAATGACATTTAAGTATACTTGACTTATACTTAGTAAAAGTATAAATATATTTGAGCTATAATTGTGCTCCTAGAATCCGTGTTTTCATTGTTATACGGTATTCACTTAAAGAAAACTTACGAGTATACTTGCAGTATAAAACTACTAATCTAGTAGTTTACTGAGACTACAAAGTGTACTAAAAATGCTACTACAAGTATGTAATTAGAAAACTATCAGTATTCATATAAGTTCACTTTTAGTATAGTTGCAGTACAAGCTAAAAATATTGTTGTAAACTAGTTAAAGTTTACTACTGTTATACTTAAAGTATACTTTTATATACTAGAAAGTGGGCCAATTTAGTCCCAAGGAGTATTGAAATAGTACACTTACAAGTATACTACTAGTACACT